ATTATTCATCTGTCTTGTAGAGAGAAGCCAGAAGTGTGCATTTCCATGTCATTTGCAATCCTATGGGTTATTTGGCTGGAGTGATTGGGTACCTTGTATAAGGACAGTGCTTGTAAACAATGGGTTGGAATACCCTCCCTTCCCTTCCCATTGTGTCATGAGACGATGGCTCAGTTGCAGACCTGAGCCTGGACTTCAGCTCGCACACTTACACTCTACTCTCCAGCTCTTGTGTACTTGCGAGGAGGAGATCACATGGTGCTTCAGAATTAAGCACAGTTTGCTGTGTTGTGAGATCTTGGGAACTGCAAGTTAAAGAAACCCTGATAATCTGTTTGATTTCAGACAAAACTGTAAGACTCCAAAGAGGAAGCTTTTGATTTCCTCACAACTGCAGAGCAGAAAAGAGGGAGCATGCAAGCTTCGGTTCTTGTAATGGACCGGAGCCAGTCTCTCAGTGTGTTGTCTTCACCAAGGACAAGAGCTAAAAATGGCACATTCTCTGTTCTAACTCACCACTATAGAAATGAATAGGAAAAACATGAAACCACTGAACAGTTATGTTAATTGAGTCCCTTTGTCCCCAGAATATTATCAAACTATAAAACTGGCCATCATATTCCTTATCATTAATTATATTTTTTGAGCTTATATAATTTGAAGAGTACCAGAGGAGAATTTCTTTATTGTGAAAGACTTTGCATGCCTACTCACCCATCAGTTAAAACAGAGCCTGCAGTCAAGGTATTTGAAGAAGACTGAGACTTGGTAGGGCAGCACTGAAGGCACTAGAAGAGACATGAAGTATAAGGACATTTTACAAGGCCAAGATCATCCGTACTGTGCATTCCCAGTCACTTTGTATGGGTGCAGAAGGTGCACAGTGAAGAAAGCTGACAAGAAGAAATGGATGCATTTGAAACATGCTGCAGGAGGAGAACTTTGTCAGTACCCTGGACTTACAGATGAACAAGTGGGTCCTAGATCAAGCCAAGTCAGAAGTTTCCCTGGAAGCAAAAATGCTAAAACTGAGGCGGTCATAATTTGGCCATTCATGAGAAGGAAAGGCTCCTTAGAGAAGACCACCATGCTAGGGAGTGTCAAAGCAGAAGATGAACAGAAAGACCAGTTATGAGTTGGATGAATTGCATAGAAGAGCCACAGCCTCAGGTGTACATGGCTATGAACAGGGCAATGAAAGACAGGCCCTTTGCGGCGGGGGGTGGGGGCGGTCATTCATTGGTCTGTCCAGAGTCAGAGATGACTTGAGGGCACATGATGACAAAATATTTTTGCTTGCAAAATAAATTAGAAGGGTAAAATCAACTTTAAGGCTCACATAAAGTTAAGACCCATTGAAATAAATTAAGTTGCAACCATGTCAGGACTTTAGATAGATCTCTGTGGTGCTTAGGATAAAATCTGTTGAAGAGTTAATCTGCTGGGGTCTTAATTCTTTTTTAGCTTGGTTTATGACTTAATGGTGCAAACATGGAACATTGACTGCTTATTTATACTGTTCTTTTGGAGTGGAAAAAGGAGAAGAATCCAATGAAGTAGTTGGGTACATTGGACCCTTGTCATTATTTAATATGGACCCTGTATTTCACCTTTGGATTTTAGGTTTTTGCTGTGCTTTGCTTTCTGGTTCCTTCTCCCAAATGGAGTGCATTCCTGAATTTTCATGAAGAGGCTTACTCCTCCATGGTGAATTTAAGTAAAACTGGGAGTCATTTGGAAATCAAATTGTTTCTGTATTTCCCTCTAGAGACCCCAGCAGCAGAATGATAATTCCAAATGGCAGAGGAGGGTTAAATGCACCTGTGTGGCAGGAACGCTCATTCCATCCATCTGAAGGTGAAATCCTTAGCATGCTGTGGAGACAGTCATCACGTTGGAAAGACTGGGTGTTTGTGTAAAGGATGTGGCTTTTGCTGTGCACGAATGCTGACAGACCCCGCCATGCTCTGCCCCCCAGGTGTGTTCTGCTGAAGGAGAGGCAAATGCTCCAGACTAAGGCGAAGCTGTCCATTATATCTGTTGCTGCAGCGCCTGGTCCAAGGAAAGGAAGGAATGATTAGGAAGATTAAATCATTCTCTCGGGATGTATTTTATGCATTTACTAATGGAAGAAGGAAGCCAGCAAAGCATGCCCGGGTGGCATGATTGAATGTGGGAAGGTCATTGTGTCAGCTGCAACACTGTTGAGAAACCTGAAACAGGTCTTTTTTCCCTTAGCAAGTACAACTTTGCACAGCTTGTGAAAAGTTTCTTCTTGAACCACAACTGGCTACAAGCATTTGCTTTTGGCAACTGAGATACACTGGTTGAAAAACTAGGTTGAAAAAAAATATGATGTGGACATTTTTCAGATTAGTAAAATGTCCACAATATGCTGAGGATGAAAAATAATTGAATAAGTGAATATTCAGTTCTCTTCCATATTAATATAAGTGGTGTGTTTGATCCTGGTAACCAGGATACGAAGCCACATGAAGGAAAGGGGCGATGTTGGCTCAACTTCAGGCTCAGGAGCCAGGTTCCCCTTTGGCTCTTGGTTCTGGATTGCCCCCCCAGGTTCCTACCATGGACTAGATGGTGTCACTGGGTCTTCATCTGGGGCTTCTCCAGAGGATACCTCCCTCCATCATGCTGCTCCTCTGCTTTCCCAGCGTGGGAGCAGTGGGAGGAGCAGAGCAGGCCAAGTTGGCCTTGAGTATCTGTCACTTGCATGCAGAAGGTACAGTAGGTCACGCTACCCGCCTCCCTTCTTGCAGGTTGTATCCTTCCCAAAGGATGCAAGTATCAAGATGGTTGACATGTCTTGGATGAAATTGGTGGCATTTCAGGTGAAAGATGCACCAATGTGGGCAAGGAGTGGCATTTGGGGGGAAAAGCAAACTCACTGACAGTCTGAGCCTGTGACTAGAGAATTGGCCTGTCTTCATTTTAATCGCCATTTTGGAGGTTTCCATATCCAAACAACATTTTTCAAGTCTTGGAAAAATACGGTTCCTGGAACACACAGAATTGGGAATATTTATTTGGAGAGACATGACCAGAGAGGGTTTCAGGAGCACATTTCAGCCCATGCAGTTCTGATCATCGCTGCAGAAGTCAGAATGGCAGTGTTCTCCCAACTGAGGTGGTCTTCAGAAATATGGCAGTGTTTCTTTCATATTCAAGATGCATTCAGAGGACAAGTCTTCAGGGCAGTATGTGCGCCCTGTGGAATACGACGGAGAGCAAAGCCTTCTGCTGGTTGAGAATGCTCCTGGAGCTGGCCATGCAAGGTATGAAAAGCTGCTGTGGAGAGAGTGGACCAGCCACTGAAGCTGTGCAGTCTTCAAAGCAATTGTTGGGAATGATTTGGCCCATTCAAGTGGGCCCATTGTGTCTGTACAAGCTCCCATGTCACAGATAAAATCGCTCTCTGTGCTCGGTGGGGAGAACTAGACTTCATTTTGGCACCTTGCCTGGTTTATTATCATGTATAACTCAACAAATGCATTGGAATAGTTAACAAATAGAACTAATGCTACAAAGAACAGAATGTATTGGGCTTACTAGAATTAATTTGTTAGTTCCACCAATACTGTAATGAATAAAATTGTTGTCAAAATCTGTGTTTCTGTTGAAAACAATGCAGGTTTCAAGCATGAGGGAATCAAAGGAGCACACACACAATAGGCATGTGATAGGAGGGACCCCCCCCCCATCAGACTTCCTGCTTTTGGAAACATTTCAAGATAAACATTGGATCATGACGGAAGCAAAAGGAAGCATGCTTGCATGCAGATGTGCATGCTTTGAGCGGGCTGATTTGTAAAGGTCCTACTTGGATGGTGTCAGGTTGTAGGTTTTACATGCTAGGATATTTTTATACACAAAATGGATGAAGGCTTATACCCTGAGCTACACGGGTTGTTTGGGAAACCCTAGACGCTTAAATGGCCACAAATGGCTGTACAATACATTACTTTATGGAAGAAAAGCCAAGTGCTTGACACTCTGTAAGTGCTGAAGGTCCTCAAAATGGAATCTTGGATTGTCTGTAGCAGGCAGATTTATATCTGCTTCTGTTAATTTCCCAGCATAGGACCAACATTTTGATGGCCAGATCTCCCTCCCTTGGCAAACACACTTGGCTTACGTGTCTGTGCCTTGGGGTTCCCAGTAGGCAGAATGTAGCCATGTTTCTGGATTGGTCTTGCTGCTGGATGCTAACAGCTTGTTTCTTGTCTCTCTTGCCCCCTTAGTTTGGGCTGCAGCTGGGGGCGGGAAGTGGATTATAAAGGACAAGGGTGAAAGAGAGGCAGTGTTGATGCTACTTTTGCATTGGACCAGCTATCCATGCTGTGCTCCCCTGTGCAGCCTCTATTTCAGCCTTCCCCAGCCTGCTGACCTTCAGACAATTTGAGACATCAGCTCCTAGAATTCCTGACCATTAGGCATGCAGCCTTGAGCTGCTGGGAGTTGATATTTGAAACATGCAAAAGATACTTGTTAAGGAAGAGCTGGGATATACTGTCTAGAAGCCATCCTACCACCACACTGTTATTTGCATAAATTAGGACAAATTTAGCTCTCCTGGAGAGTTTTCTAAGCAAAGCGATCCTGTCTCCATCTTTCTGTATAGAAATTTGTGAGGTTGCCTGCTAATTCATCTAGTCAGCCAGTTGTCATCAATTTGGGCGTATTTGCAAACAGTTTTTTCTTGAGTTTTGAGGGTGGGAGCTTTCTATGTTGCATTGTGTCTTAACATATATGCCCTTGTTGTGCCTTCATTCTCCACTGAGCCTTGTTTGAGCTTCAGGGGCCTTTGTAGTTTTCCCTACTTGTTTTCAGGGCTTGACACACGGTGGTCACTGGAAGAAGGATAGGTATGAGGTTGTTTGCCACTTGTTCTGAGTAGTCAACAGGGATGTATGGATCTCCTGGAATATTATCCATCTGTGGTGGTAATTGCCTTTTCTTTTTTCTCCTGGATCCTTTTGCAGGATTTTTCCCTGGGAGCTCTCAAGGTTGTGATGCCTTCCTCCGTCACAAGATGACTCTAATTTCACCCTCAATCTTGAAGAAATACAGCATTCCCTTTGACCGGGTATGTAAAGACAGCTTTTTCATGGGACCTGCTGCAGTTTTTCAGAGAAAGTTGGCCCATGTATGGGAAAGACAGGCAGCACAATGAGCCGACTGCTTAATTCTCTCATGCACTGTTATGTTAAACACTATCTGTTTATAGCATGAATCTTTCTCCCAAAAATAGGTTTTGGAGCTAGGATTAAAGTCCTGGCTGTGGGAAGCAGCTTTGATACAGTTGTACTTCTAGGTACACATCCATAAACCTAGTTTTGTTATGGTGAGCCACTTGAAAAGCCATAATGATTGAAAAGGAGTGTTCAGTTAGTGTGTGAGTGTATGTTGGAATCGGGGGAGGTAAGCACCGCCTCTGGCTTGCTTTGAGCAGGCAATGCTGAGGGGCAGACGGAAGTGCCAGCAGGCCCCCGTCAGGCATTGCTGATAATTGTAGGGAGGCAAGTGGTGGATTTGGTTCTCACAGGATGGGTGCTAAGCATGCATGGATTGTGGACTTCCACACTGTATTTGTGACTTGGTCCTTCACAAGAGAAGCACCTTCCCAGGAGTCTGCAGGTATCCAGTTAAAACCTGGAGGACAGTACTGGAAGGCGGGGGGACCAGCGATGAAGCCCAGTTAACAAAAGCTACTGGTGGAGTCGTTGCCCTGACAGTGTTGCCATTTGAGGGTCGGCTGCCCATGTGCGTTATTCCTTGGCCTTGTGGTGTAGTTCATGGACTCTTCTGCTTGGTCACAGCTGACCCAGTTCTGCACCTCAAGGCCTCATCAATGGGAGAGACCCGCACATCTTTGGGACGGAATGACTGTCTGCATGCAAATAAAATACCCCAGCTCCTGTCAGGACTGGATTCATTCAATTTGCTGCTCCAGAGGCTGCCTCATTTTTCCTCCTTGAAAGGCAATAACGAATGAAATGTGAGGCGAGATCATTTGTGGTGTTGAAAAATGAACTCGCCATGTTGGTACAGGGGGTCTCACGCGTTTGCAGGTACGTGAGCATGTGGAATCACAGCCACTCTTTTCCAAGCAGAGCATCCTTCTCTCTCAGTTGTCAAGGCTCACTTAAGTGCCCATTCCCAGTGGAGGACCACAGAGTCTTGCCCAAGAGAAACATGTGTGAACAGTGAACCAGTGGGGGGAGAGGAACCCTGACCCCCAAAGCCTTGACTCAAATTCCCACTGCTGTCACCAGAATGGCAATGTTTTAAAAACCCACACATACAATTAACAGGAATCAGTAACATGGAATCCAAATACCAGTGTAGGATAACCGAAGTCAAAATAAACCTGGTGCTAAAAGTTTTTAGACTTGGCATCTGACTGTCCTCCCAGGGCTTGGCTGTCTAGTCCCCCAAGTTCCCGCTCTGGGTGCCACCTTGTATTGCCACTGGTGGGTAATGGATTAGGGGAAGGGCCTAGAAGGCAGTCCTTCTGATACCCAGCTCCTAAAAATTAAATAAGTTTTTGTTATATGTGGAGACAGAAAGGGGGCAGAGCAGCTGTGTGTAAACTAAAGATGGGCCGCATGCATCCATTTCTTGTCCTTCATCCAGTTGCTGCCTTTTGCACCAACTGGCATGCAGGCAGTTTCCGAAGGCTGGTCCCTCGTGCAGTCTATTTCAGTAGCTCAGAGAGTGTGTGAATAGGTGCGGCTGTGCATCCTCTGCGCAGGTGGAATTGCTGCATTGTGCACAGTCCTGTCTAATCACCCCCACCCCTTAGGCAGCATAACTTGATCCTTCAGGAGAAGCCCGTTCCTACCTGTGATAGCAGGACACTGCCTCTGAGGAGAGACAAACTATCCTCCAGTGGTGCCATTCATCTTGTCTGAATCAATCCTGATTCTGGACACTGGTTCTGTTCCCCCAGCTGGAATGGCAAAGAGAAGCAATATGTGTTGACTCACTAATGATCTGCCCTAGCAGCACTGCCTAGATCAGCCTTCCCAACCTGCCAAATGCCTTCAGTGGCATTTAGCCCTCAAGTCCCAGAATTCCCATCCAGCAGGGCCGTTGACAGGGAATTCTGCGTGTTGCAGTCCAAACATGTCTGGAAGACACAAGGTTTGGGAAGGCTGACCCGGATGATAAAATGGGGGGTGGGGGTGGCTTTGGGACACCACAGCAAGATTCTCATAGGCCAGAAGACTCAAGGAAGCACAGTGTCCTGGACCCATTGCTGAGGTGGCTGTTCCATCATAGATGGTATCAGGGGCCCACCAGAGGTCTAGGAGAACTAGCAGGGTTACCCCTCCTCTTTTTCCTGACACAGACCATCTGTTAGGCCCACCAAAGCCATCTAGATACCAAGCCTGGGCTGGAAACTGAGACAATCTGTGTTGTGTTGCTTGGCAACCATTGGTTAAGCCTGTTAGACTTGTAATTAGAATTGAACTCATGGTCCAAGAAGACTTTTTTTAAAATTCATGGCCATGGCCAGATTCAGATCATTGCAAGCTCCATGAGAAGATAGTTGGGAGGTCAAAATGGAATTGCCTTCATGTTCACTGTCTTATAATTAAGAGAATGGGGAAAAAATCAAAGGTTCAGTAATGGTAATGCTTTTCTGCTCCCTTTTTTCTTGCTCTGCTGTTTCCTTCACTTCTCCCAAAGGAGTATGGGCTGGTATCCGAATGTTTGTTTCCCCTTCTCTTCCCTGGCCTTTCATCTTCTGCAGAGGAAGAATTGGAGGCAGGTCCACAGTCCTACTTGGGGACACTCCTTGGCTTTCCCCTCCAGTCTGCTGTCTTGTTTGCCCCCTTTGAACTCTTCATGCTTAAGATCGCTCGTAGGTGCTGGAATATAGGTAGCAGATGTGAGCAGTGTATGTGTAGCAGGCTGTCGATCCTTCTGGTCTATAATGAATTTGCTGGTAGAAGGTAGAAATGGCTTTAGCTTTCTGTGTAGAGACGCTTGCTGTAGACATCCCTGAACTGCCGCTGCCTTTGTACTGACTGCAAGCTCTTAGCTGCTGTCTCCATTCCTTTTGAAATAAAAAGGATGTTTTAGAGCCCTCTGAATCTCTGCCTGAGTGAGTAGGTGGCATAAACCATCCTGGAAGGAGGATGGTTCACAGTGGGGGAGAGTATGAAAATAGGAACTTTGACTCACCGCATGCCAGGGAGGGTGTTCTGCGCCCTATGTTGGCGCTGCTTTTCCCCGGCACAAGATTTGTCAGAACAAGTAAATGTCAGCCAGGTTGCAGCCTTCGTGCAGAATGTAGGAGGGACCCTCGCAGAACCTCTCATCCTCATCAACTCTGTGGAACTGCCATGGAGTTCCATTTAAAAGCATGGGTGGTGTGAGGAGGGGGACTGGAGAAGGCTGGTGAAGCTGTGAAAGCAGCACTCCCCACTTCTGAAGTGGACATTAAGATGCTGTGGGCATCTCAGGGAAAGTGTGGGCCTCCCGCAGAATGGTGGTCACTTTCCTGCAGCTTCCCTCCTGGCTGGGAGCTCTTGACACCCAGTGGGGAGGTTGAGGCTGGAAGGCTCTCAGACCCCGGCGGAAAGCAGCTGCCATTTCCAGGGTGCGCGTTGCCGCCTTCCTCAGGAAAGGCAGTCTGGAATTCCTTCATCGACATTCCTGGCAGGCTTCAAGCTGGACAAACACCTGGGCATTTATAAATCTTAGTAATGGTATTTACTTCTCGAAAGAAACCTGATCAATACCCAAGCCTTTTAATAATTAAAAATGTGTATTTCCGTAATCCGCTATTGATTTCTCCATTTATTCTGTGAAGGCCTTGCAGAAGTCAGTAAATTCGGGTCTTTTCGCTGTGAGTGGCAGCTGGCTCTGGCTTTTTCTCAATAGTTATTACTTTTCCACCCAGGTCTATCCATCAGCTGGAGCACTTTCTAATTTATTGACGGGATAATGTTGACAGCAGTGATGTGGGAAAGGATGGACACGGTGGGGCTCAGGATGCAGGCTCGGGGATGTAGATTTTCTGACAGGAGCATAATCTCTCTGTCTGCTTAACTTAACCATCTGCAGCTTTGCCTTGATTTATGAACAGGTTCAAGTGGAGCCAGACAGTTGGGGCCAGGGAAAGAGCTTTTTCCACCATTAAAAGGGAGGTGGGAGGGATGGAGAGCTGCTTTCCTCATACCTGTGGCTGGCAGGTAAGATTTGAGGCCCAGTTGGTGCGGGTGTTCAAGGATAGGCTGGACGTCCACATGGTGGGCATGTCGTGAGCGGAGCCGGCTGGTGCCGGAGGTCAGACTAGATGGCCCGGGAGGCCCCTTCTGACTCACTCTGTTTCTATGTTCTGTTTTGCAGTTCACTTTCTCTACTGTAGACGTACCCTTCCCCCAGAGAAATAAGGGAGAAAGCAAACTTTCTTTCTCTCTGGGTTATGCAAAGCCAGATTTTTGAAGACCTCAGTTGCCTAGTTAAACAATAAATAATGGTCTGTCCGTCCCCCACTCAGTCTGCTTTCATCTGTTGACATCTTTAGCAGCAAGAGAGGCAGGTTCCTGTTCTCAGTGGTGTGTAAATCCAGTGTGGTTGAAAATGTGTGAGATACGAAATCGGTGCTCAGCAACATGCTTCTCTAATCTAATTCTGTGGATGTTTGTCCCACTCTCGTTTCCCTCTTTGGTACTTCTGATTTAGCTGTCTCGCCTGTGTAATTTAAGTGAAGCAGGGAGTGATTTAGATGGAAGAAAAAAAAAACACATAATTGTGAAATGCACAGAAAGCTGAAAGTAGGATTACTGTTGTGAAGGCCTTTGTGGGTAATTGAATCTACAGTGCTTTCCCAGAATCTGGCCTGTTGTACACATCAGCTCAGACCAGACCCAGGCAGCACTTGCATTGTGAGTTCCTAGTGCCATACCCAGAAAACTAGCAGAGGTCCTGGGAAAGAGGGCTAACAGTTTTGGCTGGCCATGGCTGGTAGCCAGGGAAAACACTGTGGCTGCCACAAACCTTCCCCTCCCTTTGTCACTGACCTTGGCTGGGTCTATTCACAAAGTCAAGCACAGTCCTCAGCTCTAAGTGTGACTCTTGAGAATGGAGGCAGGAGTTGAAAAAGCTCTCACCAACTTTTCCACATGGTAGTGTTTGAAAGACTGTTATTTTCTGCTACTTAATGATCTCTAAACAGTACACGAATGGCTTAAGTGTTCTGGATTTATTCATATGCATGCATACAATACAAAACCTGTAGAAACCAAAATAAAAGCAGATAAGAGCATTATGTGCAATGGAAACTGTCATGCCACAGCCTCAAATGAATCAGGAAAACACTCTGTATCAGCTTTATCTTGTAGAGGTGCTCAGAGCTCAGTGTGCCTTTTGCCTGTCAAACTGTGCCTGGCAGGATGGGTGCTGCTACCAACAGAGCCTGCTAGCATGGCGTTGCTTGTGGCAGCTTGTCACATTTGTCCTGTGAAGCACCAGCAAAAACTATTTTCCTTCCAGCCCTGGGGATGAGGAGGGCAGGGTTGTTGTGCAACTTCAGGGGCAATTTTTCATCTCTCAGTGCAGCCCCAGAGTTGGAAGACAGGCAGGGGCTTGTCAGGCACGCTGAGGACAATGGGACATTGGCTATGCCAGATAAAGTTTGGAACCCCTCAAAGCCACACCATTCCTCACCCCAGGAGATGGCTCAGCTTCTGTAGTTTATAATCTTAGGGTTTGCAGAATGTCTTTAAGCAGGTGACCCCTGGCCCCGGAAACATGGGGAAGGATTTTGGGCCTAGCTTCATGTTTGCGCATTGGCTTATGCGTGACTGTTGATTGCTGCTACGTGTGATTAGCTTGCAGTCATGAGAACTTTGTGGGCAAAATTTACTGTGTCGGTCGGTCGGTCTGTCAGTCTGTCAATAAAATGGCTATCCTGCCTTGACTGTACCTCTGTTTCCTGCCAACTTGACAGTGATGCATTCTTTTCATCCTTCCCTTGCTTTCAGATCACCCAAGAAGCTGGGGAATTCATGATTACTTTCCCTTATGGCTACCATGCAGGATTCAACCATGGGTTCAACTGTGCTGAGTCCACCAACTTTGCCACACTGCGATGGATTGACTATGGGAAGATGGCTACCCAGGTAAGGCTCTGTGTTGTACTGCTGTGTTTGGCTGGCTCTGCCACTGAAGGCCTGGGGGGCTGCTTGGAGAAGTGCCGAGTCCCCTGCAAGCCAGGGCTTGGAGCCGTGGGAGCAAGGGTTATGCCCACCTGCTTCCTTCTTCTCTGCCTGGGGCCAGTTTCCTGGTGCTGCTCTGAGTAGATCCTGGCCAGCAGCCTCTGCTGCACCCTTTGCATCAGCACCCTGGTAAAAGCTGTCTCGGTCCTCCCCGACGCTCACAGGCCCACTTCAAACTCTGGTTCCAAATCCTGTTTCAGATGGGGAACTTGGACAGTGGAAACGATGGTTAGCAGTGGCTACTGCTAAATCACCCTCAAGGCAAAGAGGGGAAGGGGATGGAATGGGTGCTGGGGTAGGCGAGGTCTGTGCTCCCAGTTTACGGGACACCAGCATGCAATACCCAGTCTACTTTCTGAGCTGTGCCTTCCATCTGCTGTGGAAAGTCCACAGAAATAAATCTTGCCATCAGCTTCCCTTCACGTTGACATAACTTGATGGAGATGTGCAGCTGCTGGATGGGAACTCCATCAGGCAAGGATGCGCCACGTGCAGCACGAGGGGCATTGATCACTTCAGCCTGTCAAGGTTGACACTTCCTGGATCTGCTGACGGTGGGGGTCACTTTCTGTTCCATTGGTCAAATGTGGGAAGTTGCACCTGCTGTTGGAGGACTGGACCTGCGGTCCCACATGTCCATAGATTCTTTCTTCTTGGATGTATTTTCCAGTTCTGCAGCTGTCCATAAAATGAGTTCTTGGTCCTCTGTGGAAGCCAGCAGCCCTCCCTCTTACATGCACAGTGATATTTCAGCAGAGTAAATTCACCAGGTGATCTGACTTCCTCTAGCAAGAAGGCAAATAAGGAGTCGAGGTTTGGACACCAGTTGTGCAGGGAGTTTTGAGTCCTACCTGTGAAATGCAAATTAGACAAACCTATCCAGGGTGGGATCTATGACACACGAACCTATTGTCTGGGAGGAGGGAAGTGCAGGGGGGCTGCCACACGTCATATTCATAGATGGCACTCCTCAGAGCCAGAAGTTCCCAGTGGGAGTCACCTTTGCAATACCATTTCCATCCCAGAATTCTGCTAGCTGAAGATAATCTTTGAACAGGAAAAGGTGGAGAATTTACCACAATGCATGCAATGTGTGTTTTACAAAGTGCAGGGTGTCTTTTTAGGCATGTAAAATCTCTGGTCTGTTGGTTTTCTTGTATGTGCATACTTGTGTACACTTGCCTATTCCCCCCCGCACAGAGGTATGGTGGTTTTCAAGAGCTTATGGCTAGTACACAATGCACAAGTAACTCTTTTCTGGGAATGTGAGTCAAGCTTGCTTCCATTTTCAATTTGGCCAAGTGTGGGTGGGGATGTGAAAGGTTTTCTCTGTGATCCGTCCTTGGAGACTTACTGGCAGACATGAAGCTTGTGCATATAGCAGAAACAAGAACCCCAAGACTATCTCGAAGCGATGTGGAGGCCCATATCTGAAACAAGGTCTGAGTAGATTAGTTGTGTGTGTTCATTCATTGCCACCTACCCACACCAGTTTTCTCATGGGGAAGCATGGGCCCTGATGCTGTGGCCAGACTCACTGCTTTGCAGCCTGCCCAACGCCTCTCTGCTCGTCGTTGTCAACCCTAGAAAATGGCAGTTTGTCCTGGAAATTCTGACAAGAGTCTTAACTACGGCAGTGCTAGCGGGCAACTGCTCTAATATTAAAAGCAATTTTGGGCTTAGCCATGTGTTCACAAACAAGTGACATTTGGGAAGTGGCGTCTTTAGATTGCAGCTCCATGCTTACAATGTCGAGCGCTGTAGCGTGAAATTACTGAACAAGCACCGATGGGGAGAGTTTCTGAGCTGCTCTGGGGAGCTGCAAGTTGGAGAACAGAAGGGAGACACCCCCGCTTTTCGCTTCTTTTCTTTGTTTTTATAAGTGGACGCTCTCCCCTCTGCAGGCTTCCTTTTCTACACTGCCATATGTTACATACTTATCGACCAGTCTGGTGCATCTACTAGGAAGGGTTGGCTCATTTAGTGCTCTTCTTCTCAGGGCTTCTTCTGGATCTACATGCCTGGCGAGGGCCTGGCCTCTGCTGGCGTTTGGTGCCTGCAGTTGTCCAGATTCATAGAAAGGCCAGTGTGCCCTTTCCTCCTCCAGCACGTGTGTTGGATCAGCCAGCCAGCTTGGCCGATGGGAGTCCCAGTCCAATGCATCTGGAAAGTACCAGCTGGTGGGAGCTGGCTGAGGGGGATGCATAATGCTTTCCAAAAAACAGCTTGTTGATAGGCTCCAGTCACAGTTCACCCCTTTTCAGACCAAGGGTCTCTTCTGGGTAAGAGTTGCGGGTGTGGGAAACCTTGAGTTCTGCAAGCAGCTCTGAGGGAATGCACTACTTCAGGCAGCATGCTCAGATGCCTCTTTCCCAGCCATAGGACACGGAGGGCCATACCACTTGCCTGGGTCCTTGGCCAGCTCCTGGATGTCCCCAGTTCTCCTGAAGCAGCAACTCCCCCAGGGCTTGTAGCCATGCCACCAACTAGCTGTCCAGTCTAGCAGTGCAGAGCCTGAGCAGGCAAATGGAAACTGACCCATATTCCTTGTCCCAGGCTCTGCAAAGCCAACTCAGTCAAGAGAGGCTTCACCCACATTCTGTAGGTCATTTGCACTTCTCTAGGCACGGGAAATTCTGTTCTGGGGGGCCACCACTGGGAAGCAATATTTCCACCCCATTCGTATTTTTGAACAAGATTCCTAGTTGTGATGGGGGAGGGCTCCAGTCTGCCATGTAGCTTTTTTGCTTCCACCCTGTTGAAGGGAACATGGGAAAATGATGCTGTGTGTTTGGTGGGTTTCAATTCTCCACTCCAGTCTCACTTACAGATGAGGAATCCATCATGCTATTTTACCATTCTGCCCTATTTGCTCTTCAGCAGGGTTATCTCTTCCCTAGAAGATTTGAAGGCTTATTTGTGTGATGTGGTAAGTGAACTGAAAATTGCCGCACTGGGGGAAATTGGGGATATTGCAGTGGGAAGGCGCCTTATTGCATATCTTCTCTTTTGGAAGGGCAAGTGGAAATCTTTTAAAGCTCTTTTCACAGAGTTGTGGCACAGCCACTTAAAGATGAGATTCTGAGTTAATCCTTTGCCAGTGGAATGAGCATCACCACCTAACCCCTAAGCAGCACTCCTAGGACCAAGTGTTGAAGAACTGCACATTTCACACATTGCAGAAGACTAGCCAGCCTCAGTCCTCCAGTTCAGGAATGCTACCCCACAAGTCTGACTGGCACCTTTTGCTTTTACTTGCTCAGTAGTGGCTGGGCCTTGGCAAAACACTGCTTCCAATGCTCTTGCTTGCCTCAGACCCACCGTCTTCTGCATCTCATGGAAGAAGCTGAGATATTTGCACACAGCTCACCAACTCACCTCCAATATGAAAAGAATTTGGCCTGTAAAAGCTTACTTTAATTTAGTCAAGGCTTCCCTGCACTGAAATCCTCAATGAAGGAAGTTAAGAATAAGAATTCCATGTGCTGGTTTTGATTAGAAAAACTGAGTGATGCTCTTAGTTTTAAGGGTATATTATTTTGTGGGACAGGGTAAGATATACATTCAAAAGGTAAAGCAGCCAGCCTTCTTTATTTGCAGAGATGCAAGGAACCCACGTTGCTGCGGTCTCTTGCAGACCAATCCTCTGCATTTCTTCACAGAAGGGAATGCTCCCAAGTCTTCTAAGCACACAGTCAGTTAATTGTGCATAGGAGTGCAAAGTATCCTTCTGTTTCTGCACAACCATCATGAGGTTTTCAAACTGCCCAAGTCTGGATAATAAAATCTTTAGTTATTTGCAGTGACACCAGCTTCTCTTCAGTTTTGAAATACATTTTCAGACTTCCTCAATTGGCAATGATACAGATGTGCCTGGAATTCCAGAGTGTGTAGCAGCTCTAACTCGTTAACACTTGGTTATATTTTATAACTTATTATTTTACTGAAACAAAACCATTTATAGTCCTTAATATGCCAGACAGCAGGGTTTCTATGTTTAAGTTATGCACAAATGCACTCATATCCACGAAGCAGTAAAATGAGTTTCAAGTTTGTTAAATTCATATCATTGCGCGCATATATATATATATATATATATATATATATATATATATATATTTCCATTCTCCCATTCCCCAGTGGAACAGGAGAAGGTGGGGGTGGGGGCCCTGCTATGTCTTTCAAACACCCAGAAATCTATTAGGCAGCCTTTTGACATATCACCGCCTACCAATAATCCGTGCAGCTTTTACCAGTGTGTTCTTGAGTTACCCACAATTGAGTGATCACAGAAGCCTAAAGCAAACAGCATGAATAACTCACTGGGCTGATGGTGCTGCTAACTATGGCAGGGCCCGATTTGCCTACACTTCTCAAGTACACGCAAGGGGAGTTTAATGATCCACTCATTAGAAGCGAGTTGCACCGTAATTGCTGGACAAGTATCGGCATTAACAGAAAATGGGCTCTTCAGCAGTTAGGTTTAAAGGTGCAAAGTTTGCTGCTGGGAACACAGGCAGGCTGTGCCTCAGAGAATTCGTAAGTAGGTCTTCTAAAACACTCGGATTTAATGGAGCATATGCATGTGTGTGTGGGAGAATACAAACTTAAATGGTTTTGCTGTAGCAGTTCTTCCTGCTTTTTGCCCCCTAAGGACAGTAGTATATTAGGTGCTAAGAATTTCCTTAGAGATGCCAGCATCTTTTGCAGAACTGCAGGAAGCAGAGTTCCATGGAAATAGAGGGGGTAAAATGTAGCCGGCTCACTTGCCAGAGGACTTTCGCAGGTAGAGTTCTTGATGTGACCTTAGTTTGATGTCTGTGGGCAAATCACTGCCTGCTGCTTTTAGTTCCAGCAAAATGTATAGAAGTTCCCGTAAAATGAGACTCATTTAACAATATAAA